CTTTTTACAAAGGTCAGTATAACTGGTTTCAACACAAATGCTAGTAGAACTTCTCCCAAATTGAGTGAAAGGTTCATAGAACAGATATGTTGCTATTTACAAGCCACCAGTGTATGATATCGTTATTGCACACTAGTAGCAAAATCTGGATGGTGAACAAATATCATGGTGATGCACAGTTTCACCAATGAATGAAGACAATTCAATTATGAACAGAACGAGCTTTGAAGGGTTAACCAAAAATTACATGCTTCATCTAAAGTACAGGTTCGGTTGATTGAGTTTGGTTGATTGAGTAATGATGAGTACTCCTAGCTGTCACAATGTAATGTGTGCACAGCTAAAATGTCAGCACAACCAAATATTAAAAACTGCTGGATGAAGTGAAGCTGAAACGTCCCAAGATACAATGTACCACACCACCAAACCCCATAACAATGTATGCCCAGCTTCTCCTTGTAAGAGGAAACACTGCCTATTTGCAGTCTTAAAGGGGGGCACAACCTCCTCAGACTGCCTCAGAGTACATGTATGCTACTTTCAGTACTGGGATACAAAACTACTGAATGCACAAAAACATAGGTTCTTAACACGAAATGTGTGTTCGCCGGGAGAAGTTTGGCCTATATCATATACTATTGAGGAACAAGAGGGAGTGAATGCTAAGGACACAGCAATCCCTTCCCGTAGACACCGCTTATTATGCTGTAGCAAGTACTTGGACATGGACATACATGAAGAAAAAGGAACACCACAACTCCAACATAGCAGCTCGTGCTAAGTAAGGTGAAGGATGTTGCCTAAAACCGAAGCTGCTATGTTCTAAGGTAGAGGCAAAAGGATGTTGCCTAAAAAATATTGTATGGCGGAACCCACATTGGCAGCAGTAGAGAGGGCTGGGAGCGGCAAATGTGCGTGCCTATAAGCAGGCCGCGAGGAGAGATCCCGGATCAATGGCCGTGCTACTCTGAAGCCTGATTTTTGGACATACTGAATCAGCCCCCTTCTTCTTCACTAAGTTATACGATTTGACATCGATATAGAGGCGGTCTCAGCCCTCAAACACGGATCGAATCGGGACGGATGTCCCGAGCCGCACAGCACGGCGAGGCGAGGCGGATGGGGGAAACGACGAACAGCGCAGCAGTACCTGTAGACGAAGTCCCGGATCCTGGGGTGGTTGGGCGGGATGAGGCGGCGCTGGATGCGGAGCGCGAGGCGGTAGGTGCGCCTGAGCCCGAGGAAGTAGGCGGTGATGGCCGTGAGCTCCCACAGCACCATCTCGACCCCGCGGCCCGACCTCGGCGGCGTCTCCTCCGACCTGCTGACCCTCCTCGCTGGGGCGGACGGACGACCCGGTTCGGCCCGGACTACTAGTAGCGGCGGCGGCGGAGTTGCTGGTAATGGAACAAGGGGGCGGGGCACGAGGAGAGGGAGGAGGGGGAGAAGGGGGCGCGGCGCATCTTCTAGTAGTATCTGCTCGGGAACGAGAAGATGCCGTGCCGTGTGTCCGTGCGTCTTCCACTTCGCTTTCCTTTCTTGCGAGAGGGGTTTGACATCATGTGTGGGAGAGGCGACGCCGCGATGGCCCGATGCCTTGCTTGCCGAGTTGCCGGGACAGGCCTCACCTCACCGTCTATGTCAGCAGCAGGTTGCAGATAGACCAGGCCAACCAAATGAACGAATAACAATTTGTTTAGAAAAAATGGGAGAAAATGTCTACATAATCCTAGCGTATCATGTGAGATCCGACCATTATCTTTGACCCACAACAACCATATGCGGGTGTGGGTGTGAGTTTTGGGATGAAACCTAATCCAATCCGGAAAAACTCCGATCCAACATGGAAAACCTAGGCCTAACCTAAGGTATAGCCCGAATTGAGCTGACACGTCCTTCGGATGAGTATGGATAAAAAAAACTAGCTTGGCATCAAGTTCACATTGAATCCAGACCGTCAACAAATATTGGGTTTTTACCGACCTGACACTTGATTAGGTTTTGAGGTGGCTCGAACCTTTACCCTACACCCGCGCGGTAGAAATGGGGATGAACCGGTATGGCCCTGGCTCCATAGCCTCAAGGCAAATTTCAAATGGCAGAGGTTGATCCATTTCAGTCAAAGGCTATGATGTCACTGGACCAAGTAACACAAGTCGACCTAAATGTTTTGTTATTACCATGGACCAAGATACTATGGACACTATTAGAAATATAAGATACAAAATTCAAAGTATCATGATAACTCATGATAACGCATTGAGAATACCATGGAGCGGATCAAATAAGTATCATGATGTCTATCTTTTCAACTTGTATACCTTTGTTTTTGGTTGGCGCTTTTCTACGGACTTAACGCCACTATGTGCCTCTATTGTCTTTGTGCATTGCGGATAATAAACACTCACTTAGCCATACTTGTTTAAGGTTGATAAAGTGTGACAATTGTAACACACGAAAATATTTTGCAACCTAATCTTTAACCCTGTTACAACATAAAAACCCTAAGTAAATTATAGAATGAAAAGAGAGTGCTAGGAAGACTCAAAATTTTCACGAGATATTGAAGTGTCAGTGCTCTTTATTAGTTCTTGTTGGAGCATGAATTTTTTTAATGAGTTCATACCATTTTTTTTATTGATGTTAGCAATGTTCCTAGTTCATGGGAACTATTGTTTCATGTTTAACATAAAAAAAATTAATATTCACTTGGGAAATTGTCATAAAGAGAAAATTGTTTTTATTTTAGAAAAATGTTGTTATCACTTCTTCGTTTGTGAAATTGGTATATGTTATTGTGAAAATGGCTTCTAGCTTCAATAGAAAAATATTCAACCTTAATAAAATATAAAAAGTTTCATTTACTTATTTACAATGTACTGTATATTTACTAGCCACTGATAGTGTCCAATGAAGAGAATAGATATGAAATTTCTGTTATGTTATTTAAAACAAATGTTGTACTAGCCATTGATAGTGTCCAATGAAGAGAATAGATATGAAATCAATAAGAATAAAAAAATTAAAAGGGATAGAAAGAAAAAAAAAGAAATTTTCAAAGAAATTGAAAAAACGGCCCACAAGAAGCCCGTGCTTTTTTTTTTTCCCGCCGTCGATGCATAACCTGCTTCCCTTCCGTCCGCTGCATCCCTCTTCCCTCCTCGTTCTTGTCTCTGTCTCTCTCTCGCTACCCTCTCGCTATCAGACGACTGTTGGGCCGCCGCCGCCGCCCTAGGCCAGGTGCTGAGGCTTTCGTTGGTCTCTTCGCCGGCGACGAGCACCCACCAGGTACTCCCACCCCTTCTCTTCCCTTCCCTTATGCTGTGCGAAGCTGAGCACCGAAACCCTAACCTAAAGCTATTTAGCTATTTGACAAGCCTCCTAACTTCGAAGTTTTTGCAAAAATTATTGGGTGTACATGTGTACAACTGTACACCCATGTCCCTTTACTGGATCCGCCCCTGGTTGGTGGCTGTGCCGCGGTGGGACATTTTTCTTGTGCCAATCATGCCTCCGGCTTGAACTGAAGATGGGTAGCATTCTGTGCAATTTACTTGACGATTCCTTTTTTCAGTTGCTAGTTTGAACTGAAAACATTGTACTGTTTTTTTTTTTTTTTTTTTTTTTGCTACTCTCCCTATTTAGATACATAAGACAGTGTTAGAATTTTAGATGCCAAAAATCCTTAACTTTGTGGTTTCACTTCACCATATGTTTTTTAGCCATATAAATTTGACCAAAACATAATGTTTTCAGTCAATGTGTGGTTCACTAAGATGGGGCATTTGTTGTGATACAACTGCATGATGTTTTGAGTCATTTATTCAAGAGGAATTGTAAACCTGAAGGGGTGATATGAGTCTAGTTCAGTGCCAGGCTTGGTGTTGTGTGCATTCTACATGTACTAAATATGTCTATTGGGTACCTTCAATTTTTAACATACTACTAGGTCTGAACTAATATGTTATTGTTGTGTCACTTACTAATGCGTTATCTTTCCCTCCATTTGTTAACTGTGCATCTCCTTTACTATTTCTTTGCAGTGTCTGGTCTCCCAAGAGAATTCCTTATTTTTGTTCAAAATTTCTTGATCTGTATTGTCATTATGCTATGACTTGTATCTCTGTTCATCTTATCAATTTAGCTTTTGTTCAGTAATTATTGTCAGACTGACAATCCTGCCTAGATATATGTATGCACATGCGTATTTTATCTGACATGTACTTTATCCTTGCTGAGTGATAGGATTGGGTTCTGATAAATGTATTCATGTATCATCTGGACCTGAGCGCTATTCTCGGCCAGAATTCAGCTATCAATAGGCTTTGGTTATGGTCGCGTCTAACCCAAAACTGGTAGGTGGGTTCGCTAATTAAATTTTTGGGTTGGGTTGGGTTGGCAGAAGATGTTCATGAGCGGTGGCCGGTGGGTTGGGGTGGGCAACGGTTTGATCCATTAACAGGGATATCCAACACAGAAGAAAGTGCTGCAAGAAAACCTCGTTGGTGCTCCTTTAGCCCTTTTGATTCCGAATGGTACTTGTGGATAGTATGAGATTAACTTTGCTTTCTTTGCTCCGCATGGAGAATTGCTTGTCTAGCTCATGGTTATCCCTGCAAAGTTAAGTGGTCATGCATTTTTTGGTGGTTTCGATGGGTCCACATGGCACCAATTTATTCAACGAAAAATAGTACCAACCAGAAATTTACCAATGGGTCATATGCATCTTTTACTGAAATGTTTTGGTAACATACAGGAATTTGCTAAGGTTCTTGAGCCATGTATAGACTTGCCACTAGAATAATGTCTGTTGTTTGAAATAATCTTGTTTATGTCAAATACTATTACACTTTTAAATTTTTAATGTAGAATCTTATATAGTGGCCAAAGTGGTGTTACATATACATATCATTAGTTTAATGATAGCATTATTCTTCTAGCCTTTAGTTATTTAACCCCCTCTTACTCCGTTTCAGGATCCACCATTGCTGGTTAGCCTGATGACGACAAACGGCGCAGGTGGTGGCGCGAAGCTTCCCAGGAAGCGCTTCTACCGTGCCAGGGCGCACAGCAACCCACTCAGCGACTCGCACTTCCCTGTCCCGATATCGCCTGAAGAGGTTGACCTCTCACAGCACTACCCGCGGTACTTCCCCGCCGACAAGGGCGGTGACGGCGAGGAGGCTGCAGCACCACGACGGATCCGCTTCGCAGACGTGGGGTGTGGATTCGGCGGGTTGCTCGTAGGGCTCTCACCTCTCTTCCCAGACACGCTCATGATTGGCATGGAGCTGAGGGACAAGGTAATTACTCTTATTATTTTGCCTTCTATTGTTCCCTTGATTTGTCTGGACGCCTTGTAGACTTTTCTAAGCTTAAAGTTACTGGTAGTATGAACATAAACAATGCATTTGCCATGGTTTGTAATTATAACAATGTTAAAATTTTAAAAATAAATCAAATTCGACCACATGTTTATCATGTAACATGTGAGTTTATAAGCCAATAATCTTTAACACATTCCAGTTAGGTTTCTGATATGAAATTAGTATTCTGCCACACCAACTTTCTTTCTTAAGGAATTAGTATTTGCGTCAGCTTTGCAGTAAATGTGTGGTTAAAATTTAGTCAACTGTAACAGGCTTGGATTTCTGCTTAGAAAATGATGTGGTTTCAGAAAGCTATTTTATTCAAAATTTCAAATAGCCTAGTTTAGGATTCATTGGGAAATATCTGAATTCACTTATTTTTTGCCTGTCATTTATTCTTGTACAGGTAACTGAGTATGTGAAAGAGAGGATTTTAGCTCTAAGAGCAGCAAACCCAGGACAGTATGACAACATATCTGTTGTCCGGACGAACTCAATGAAATATATTCCAAATTACTTCAGGAAGGCTCAGCTCACCAAGATGTTCTTCCTGTTCCCTGATCCTCACTTCAAGGAGAAGAACCACCGAAGGAGGGTTATCAGCATGCAGTTGTTAGATGAGTATGCTTATGTGATGGAAGTGGGAGGAATCATATATACCATTACTGACGTCGAGGAACTTGGAGAGTGGATGCGGTCGTGTCTTGAGAAACACCCATTATTTGAAACTGTCCCTGAAGAAGAGATTAAAGCTGACCCAGTTTTCAAATTGCTGTCTACCGCCACTGAAGAAAGCCAGAAGGTCGCCAGAAATGGAGGACAAACTTTCCATGCCATCTTCAGGCGGATCTCCTTACAAGAAGAATAAGTCGCTTAGGTTATTAGCTCGTAGTGTACTTCCTGAGACTGTGTTACATGTCTTTGTCATTTTTATACATCTTTTAGCAATTGTTGTTGATGAAGGAGTACTTGATACTAAATATTGCAATATTGCATTGCAAGGTTCTACAGACCCAATTATTTTGTTCAGCTTTAAGAGAGTTTACCAAGACGATTTTGTTGAGTTTACCAAAACAATATTCCTTTGTTTTAGCTAACCGTACGGATGGTTGCAGAAAACTGACATTGATGTGCAAACCTGTTCCTAATTGCATAGAGCCAGACACCAGGATCATTTCCCTCACTGTGTATGCAGCTCAGTCTGAACTCTAAATACACCAATAGAAAATCGTTATAAGTTGCCATCTTCGCTCGTAAACATAAAATTGTATAAAACTACAAGTACAAGATAACTGTTTTTACTATGGGAATTTCTTATACGAATCAAGAGTTGTGTTGTACTGAGCTCCAGATCCAGTTGCTATGCAAAATTTACGGCAGCTCAGCTCTCTGAAACCGACTCGGGTGCTCAAAAAAGCTGAATCCGACTCGAAGTCTTTTGAGCTGAATACGACTCGAAGTCTTTTTGCTGCTACTTGCCGTGATATTTAAGCTCGCTCTCTCATCTCTTCCCATCTTCCACCCGCCGTCCACGACTAGATGTAACACGCCCACCGCCGCCATGGCCAACGAGCACAGCGGGAGCCCCCTCCGAAGGTGGAGGCCTTTCTACGGCGCTTTCGGCGCCATTGACGGTGCGATCGAGGCAGGCGGCCACCCGCGCTCCGCGTTTAGGGAAGTGAGGAGCCGGATCGTCGTGCTGCTCCGTAGCGCAGCGGACGACGGCGTGGCCGAGCAGCTCTGCGCCGCGCTCGACGACACTATGGTGGAAGCGCTCGAGACTCTGCGGGTGGCGCCCGTCCCGCACAGCGCGCTGGCGTCCACCGACCTCGCAAGGGCCGTCGTCGCCCTCGGGAACCACGGGTCGGCCAGGATCCGCAGCCTCGCGAACGACGTCGTGCACCAGTGGAGCGCCGCCATCGACGACGACGTCGCCACAGCTACGGCAGTCAAGGAGCGGCCCGACAAGCTCTTTGTCTCCGGTGATCGGATCCCACGCCAGGGCATCTCTACAGTGTCACTGATGGCAACGCGCGTGAATCTGGTGTTCCCGCCGCCGCCTTGGTACACAAGAAGCTGCTGCACAAACTACCACCAGCGAAGATGCTTCCCGCCGCTGCCGTCGAGGTACACAAGAAGAAGCTGCACATATCACCACCGAAGATGCTTCCTACCGCCGCCGCCGCCGTCGAGGTACACACGAAGAAGCTGTACATACCGCCAGCGAAGAAGATGCTTCCCACTGCCACCGCCATCGTCACCGAGGAACACAAGAAGAAGTTGTATGTACCGCCAGCGAAGATGATTCCGACTACAGCAACTGTGTTGGGCCGACAGAACACGAGTGAGGCCAAGAAGCCGATCGTCGCTCAAAGCAAGAAGATGGAGACTACTAAACGAAAGCTACGTGAGGGTTACCAAGAAGCGGAGAGGATCAAGCGTCAGCACACCATTCAGAAGATCAACGACAAGGATGCGGCAAAGATGTTTGAGCAAAAGCAGCGAAAGATGCATCCCATCGTACAAGGGAGAGGCCCAACAACATGCAGGACTTCCTTAGGCGTCAGTCGTTCGTTGCTTCCCTCTCTTCAGATGATTTAGGGCTCAGTCTAGTTGTCTGATGACCATTGTTAGGGTATTAATGTAAGTTATATCTCTGTATGTATATGTATAATGAGATGTGATCATATTGAACAAAACAACTGAACTGCTACAACTGGAAGACTGCTGCATGTATATCCACAAGGTTCCTTTTTTGAGTCATGTCAAACAGACTACAGACAGACCATTGACAGAATTCTAATGGCACAATCATAGAGCAATCTGTCAGATCGCTTGGAGTCGACGGTCAAGAAAAACTGCCTGATGACCAGCACCGATAATTCCTTTCTTGTTTCTTTAAGCTGCATCTGGACCCTTCATCATAAGCTATGCATGGCTCATACGAGGCTGCATTCGCTAACTTTTGGCTTTTGTTCCCTGAAATCTGTGGCAGAGCGAAATCACACTCTCTATTTGCTGGAATAAGTTTGACAAGCTTTGCAAGATCATATGACTTGAAATCCCTTCCAAAGCATAAGCTTAGATCCAGTGCAGTCCTCCCATCCTGTAATGTGTTCACAGAGAAACCAAACAATATTTCAGACATAACGATAACATAAAGTATTCATACAAATAGCTCGAAGAACAAGTTGTAGCAGGAAGAGCGAAGAGTTATCCTATTGACATCATCACATCAGACGACGGAAGCCATGCAACTTATTACTTATTTTGTGAAACATCAGAAAATGTAAGGCAGCAATGATCATAGTAAAATATTTTTTTGGTGTATACTGCTCATCAGCGAAGATATGAAACAATACCTTGGTTCTTCTTGTCTTATCCGCACCATTGACGAGCAAGACCTTTGCTATATCTCTATTTCTACTCTGTATGGCTAAATGGAGTGGTGTCCATCCATCCTGCATGAAAGGAAATATTATTTAAGAGAACATTCACTGTCCTTGAAACAGGGTTGAGATGATATGAAAATTGCTACACAATTGACTTACATTATCAGCAACATTGACATCAACCTTGTACTTAATCAGTAACTTCACGGTTTGCAGGGCACCAGATTGAACAGCATAATGTAATGGTGTGGCTCCATCCTGCACATCAGCTGATCAGCAGACTTAATTCAAGGGCCAGCAATATAGGAAACACATTCTTGTTCCCGACGGACCAAAACCAATGTGACAACAGCTAACTTTGCTTCAAGAAGTTTCACTAAACTTCACTCCTTTTGAAATCATGGACAACAATTGACAAGAAGGGAGTATTCCAGGTACCCTCTTACCCTATCTCTAACATGGGGATTTGCCCCTTTCCTCAGGAGATGGCTAATGACAGCCTCTTTTTTTCCTATGACCGCCTTGTGAAGAGGGGTGAAGCCATCCTGTATCAGCAACACCTGCGTAGTTAACTCTGCCTTCCCAGATGGGGTTTCTCAGATACGAACGAAAAATGAAAATCATAAGCACGTAACTTACTTGATCAAGTAAGTTGATGTCAACACCACTGTCCAGAAGCTTGTCCATGAGGGGTATCTGCAGTGCCAACGCGTAACTATGAAGTGGATGCCATTTCGGCTGCACCAAACAATTCATCAGGAATTAGATTCAGCATCTCAAATCTTCAGCAGCAAATCGAGAAATGCATCATACACAAAAGAAAGATGGTTCCTAGTAGATATTAAGACAGCTGGAGGAGGAGCTTAACTGATGATATTCTAGTGACGTCAGGGGTCTCGTGCTGATCCAAGATAGCCTTTTCTTCAGGCGTTAGGAGAATCTCGATTTCTAGGCAAACCAAACAAAAAAATTAGTGGTAGATTCAAGTGTAGTAGAACACAAAGTAGTAGAGCGGAAGGTCTCTCAAAGAGTAGACCAAGGAGCAGCGAAGTAGTGAATTTGTGTGGGTATAAATCCTAAATCAACTAACACCTCTCCGGAGGTCCTGTTCTTGCTGCGCCGCCGCCTCGAGCCTGGAGGACGGCGAGTAAGACGGGAAACGCGAGGCCCTCCTTTGCTCCGGGCCGTCGTCCTCGTAGTCGCTCCCGGAGCCGTCGTCTGGCTCCTCCCAGAAGACGTCGCCGTCGGGAGAGGCGGCGCGCGGCGGGGGGGTGAGGCCCGCGCACAGCAGCCGCGGAAGCGGGCGGCAGAGAGGCGGTGGAGGGCGGGGTGCCGCGGCGCGGAGGGGAGGAGCAAATGAGACGGCGGCTGCAGTGCTGGGTGGTGACGCGGTGACCGCCCATGGGAGCATCTCGAGGCAGCCGGCAGCTAAAGCCCCGAGTTTCCCGTCGGGTTCTGGCCTTCTGGGCACCGGCGGCGGATTTTGGTCGGGTGGCGCGGCTTCGCTGCAACTGCTTCTTGCGTCTGATAGACTGACGGAGGTAGCCGACGACACCCCCTGCAAAGGGGAAGATGGGCCGGCCCAAAATGATGTGTTGAGCAGAGTCGGCAGTCCAGCCCAATAGAGAATCGCTGTCCGTTCGGCCCGTCCTGTTCGTCAGCTCCAGCGTCGGCGCTGGCCCGCTGCACACCGAATCCTCACGGCTACTTTCCTCAGCTTACAAAGAAGCTGTATAAAAGCACGCATGTTAGGAGAAACTTTGATTTGTTATTTTGTCGATTTGTGTTTCACAAAAAAGGAGAGTACCAAAATGGATTGGATTGCTCACTAGTCAATTGCACAATTGTATATTGATTTGATTTGAATTGAAGACCAAGACATGCATGGTGAACTATGTTCGTGGACAGGTTACATAGTTACTTACACCATGTTCGCTTGATCGTATCAGCCATGCTTATCAGCCATAATATAGTGTTTTCCTCTCACGGTAAAACAGCATCAACCGACTTATAAGCTACAGAAACGATCAAGCGAACATGCGGTTAATTATCACTTGTTAAAGTTGTTTATTCTTTTGTATTTTGATCTTTTGATGTATAGTGAACTATGTGGATTATGGAACAAATTAAATGCTTCATACCATCTTTATGTGCTTTCCATGTGAGAGGTAAACATCTTGTGCATTAGATTATACAGTAATTGTTACTAGTATGTGGTTTTTGGCTAAAATATGGGTTTAACCTTGCGCGTGTGCCTAGCAGTCTATCCTACCTATAATTTTGTCTTGGGTCCACTACTGCCGGCTCGGCTTAGTTCAATCTGATTTTATTCTGAATTTGTTATGAAGTTTAGTACACAAGAGCAACTACATTGTTATTCCACACTTTGTTTCTTAGAATAGCAAGCCTCCATATTCAGATTGGTTCTTTGCTTCTCTATCCGCTCTACTGACTTCTCTAAATATGACACTCTATTTTCAAATGACTATTTTTTGAATGGCTACAATTTGAATGGATGTATTTTCCAACTTTTATTTCTTTTTCTACTATATTACATGGACTCCACTTGACAAATGATGACCACAATTTTCAAGGATGACGCAGTTCATTGCTTGGACGAAATAAGTTCTACCACTGGGCAATATTGCTCAAGTTGTGGGCTATGAAATCCAATGTTCTCTACTTCTCTTGGTCAAGTAAGAGCCCGTTTGGAGGGGCTCTGCCCGACTCTGACTCCCGCCCCGTGCAAGTACTGTGGCGGAGCCGAGCAGAGCCACAATCAGGAGCTCCAGCGGCTCCTCTCTGAGCCCAGGCGGAGCCAGAGCTATTTCCTCCCATGCCACAGGTGATCTACAGGATCCTACAGTGTCCCACCAGGCAGAGCCGGAGCCATCATGAGCTGCACCAAACGCGCCCTAAGTCTGGAAAACAACCTGTTGGAACAATCTACATTATAATATGAATAAAAAAGTCTATAAACTTCTAAAAAAATTAAAAGATAACTTGGGACACATGAAACCAAATAAAACATTTAGAGCTTGTGAAAAATATCTTTAGAAGCTTAGAAAAATTAGATTTAGCTCTAGAAAGGTGAAAAAGATCGCTAAAATAAAATTTTAAAATCATTTGAATTGACATCTAAATACATTTAAAAACTTTCTGCCACAAAAATATAAGATGCAAAGAATAAGAATGCAACATACCTCTGTTATAATGTTTTGAGAATTTTCTTGATATTCTTTCTGTTTTCTTAGATATAAATGAAAACTTTTGGTTGGAAGTTTTTAGTTTTAGGAATACTTTCAAGAGCTATAAATAATTTATCTGGATTTGTGGTGGTCTGAATTTTAACTAAAGGAAGGTAAAACCACATTGAAAGTCACTTCTATCCGGAGAAGCAAGATAGCTTAAATATTTTTGAGAACTAGCTAGAGGTAAGATATTTGGTTTTGGAGTTTTTTTTAAAGAGAACGGCAATGTTAGCGTTCGGACGTTTCGGACACGTCCGGACACCCACGCCTGCACTCTATTTCCCACATCCCACGCGAGGGCTCACATCGCCCGAACATCACCAGCTTCAAGAAGAGAGGGAGGGGGCATCGCCCGCTTGCATTTCTGGTTCGGAAGGACCTGCGGTGTGCCCCGGTGAAAGCTCTAGTTTGGTTTTGATAAATTGATGAAATCCTAAGTGCTAACCTATTTTATCACAGTGATTATGAGATAGGTAGCACTACTCCAAGTGGTGAAGCAAATGAAAATCATGACATGATGATGGTGATGATCAAGTGCTTGGACTTGGAGAAGAAGAAAGAAAAACAAAAAGCTCAAGGCAAAGGTGAAATTGATAGGAGCTTTTCGGTTTAGTGATCGAGACACTTAGAGAGTGTAATCACATTTAGGATCGATAATCGTACTATTAAGAGGGGTGAAACTCGTATCGAAATGCGGTTATCAAAGTGCCACTAGATGCTCTAACTCATTGCATATGTATTTAGGATCTAGTGGAAAGCTAACACCCTTGAAAATGTTTATGAAAATATGCTAACACACGTGCACAAGGTGGTACACTTGGTGGTTGGCATATTTGAGTAAGGGTGAAGAAGTTGGTAAATCGAATGAGGTGTTTTTCACTGTCAAACAGTGACCGGACGGTGGTCACGTGGTGACCGGACTCTGGGGAGCAGCGTCCGGTCAATTATAAAAAAAGATGGTACTCTTGGCCTGAGACCAGACGCAGGCGACCGGACTCTAGCTGAACACTGTTCAGCGTCCGATCCTACTGATGTGGCGGCGCACAGAGGAGACGGTGAGTGATCGGACACTGGGTGAGTCCGATCGGGCATGACCGGGCGCATCCGGTCGCAAATTTCCGCCTCTAGAACCTTACTGGAAGTGATCGGACGCTGGGGTCGTGTGTCCGGTCCTACACTGTAGTGCATCTGGTCACAACTTACATGCACTAATGACCGTTGAGATCGGGTAATCAGCGTTTGAAGCAGGAGACGTGTGGCGTGCATCGCGTGACCGGACGCTGGGGTCCTGCGTCCGATCAAACCGACCTGTGTGTCCGATCGTCCCGAATTTTCAGTGAACAAAGAGTCAACGACTCTATTCGTGGGGGCTCTCTATTTAAGCCCCATTGCCGGCTCTAACTCACTCTCTTGGCCATTTGCAATGACATAGCAACATTGTGAGCTTAGCCAAAGCCCTCCCATTCATCTCCATCATAGATTCATCATCTTTGTGAGATTGTGAGAGAATCCAAGTGCATTGCTTGAGTGTTTGCATCTAGAGGCACTTGATGTTCGTGTTTTGCTGTGGGATTCGCTTGTTACTCTTGGTGGTTGTCGCCACCTAGACGGCTTGGAGCTGCGAGGATTGTCGAGCGGAGGTTGGTGTTTGTCTCTGGCTCCGATCGTGGTGATTGTGAGGGGTTCTTGACCTTTCTCGGGCGGAGAGCCAAAAGGTACTCTAGTAAATTGCTCGTGGCTTGTGTGATCCTCATCTTGTGTTAGTTGTGTGGCACCCTATTGAGAGTTTGGTGTGTGATGCCAATTAGCGCGTGAATCTCCAAGTGAGTGAATCGCTACAACGGGGACTAGCTTGCCGACAACCAAGTGAACCTCGGAAGAAAAATCATTGCGTCATCATTTGATTCCGAGGTGATTGGTCTTCATTCTTGTGATTGATTAGTTCATTCCTCGACTCGACGGTATAACCATCTTGCTCTCTCTTTTTACATTACCGTAAACTAGTTGTCAAGCTCTTTAGTGTAGTTAGTCATGAGAGCTTGTTAGTTTAGTTAGTGTGGCTCTTTAGTTAGCCTTTGAGAGCACACTAACTTAGTGTAGTGACATAGCCATTGTGTGGATAGAGACTATAGAAACTAGAATTGTGGTAGGTGGCTTACAATTTTAGTAGGCTAGTGCAACCCTTGCTTCGCCTCATAATTGTCTAACCGGTTTGTTAAGTGTTGTTGTAGAAATTTTTAATAGGCTATTCACCCCCTCTAGCCATTAGGACCTTTCACCCGACTGCAACGTCATATCGGATGCTCAGCCGGTGTTGGGAGGAGGAGACACCGATGCGAGGTAGTAGAAGACGAGGAGGGAGGTGCAACAACCGATCTATTTTTGAAATATCCAAATGCAAATACTTGCAACATACGTCTTGAAACACTTGAAACATGCATTTAAACACACTTGCAAAAACACCTAAAAACACAACATTGTAAACATACGCAACATCCAGATAAAACACTCACAACGTATATATGAACACATATGCAACATGCAGATAAACACAGTTGCAACATACGTCTGAAAAAAATAGAAGAAACATTGAAACATAAGCTTGCAACATACGTGTACAACATATGCAACATCCGATCTACTTTTGCAACATCTATATAAAATACTTGCAACATACCTGTGAAACATCCGAAACACTTGAAATATGTGTTTTACAACATATGGGAGGCCGAGGCCGGTCGATTTTAATTGCTGGGGTTGGAGCCGGTGACGAGCGGCGACACGCGAGCACCACCACCAGTAGCGTCGGGCTTGGCTCGGTCCGACGGGCAAAACACGATATGGGAGGGAGCGGGCGGCGCACACGATGGGTGGAGCGCGCACCACCACCACCACTGCTTTGGCTCGGCTGAGCAGGTGGCGCGGGCAGCACGTGCAACACGAGGGAGCGGGCAGCGCGCACGACTCCGAGGCGGAGTGGGCGCGCGGCGTCTGGACGGGACGGACGTCCACGTCCTATCATTTACCGAAGAAAGGGAATTGCTATTAAACAGGCGTCTGATTTCTTTCAAAAGATCAGGCGACGTATGCTGGCCAACGGTCATAGGCTTTTTCTTCCTTCTCTCAGCTCAGCAGCAAAGCAGTAGGTCGTGCACTGAACTCGTTGCCTGAGAGCTCAGACAACTGAACTCTAGGAGATATGCCGAAGAAATAAAGGATCATGGCAGTAAAAGGGAATTTTTTTGCTCGCTATCCAGCCACTCCTGTGATCGCATCGTATCCAATTGATTAATATAGTGGATTAGTGGCACTGGCACACGCTAATATCCATCCGTCACCATTACCATCATCGGCCGCTACTACACGAATCGAATGCTACAAGTCCGCCGCGCGCTTCTTGAGGTCCCTGTCCCTGTCCCTGGCGGCGGCGGCGGCTCTGCTGGCCGCCCTGCCGCCGGAGCGTCGCGGGCCCATCCGCCGCCGGAGCGCGAAGCGAAGGTGTCCGGTGTCCTTGAACCGGCGGCGCTCTGACTCGACGACGTCGCACTCGGGGAACGCGGCGGGGTAGCGCAGCGTATCGTAGCAGTAGGAGTAGACCATTTTGCTCTCCCGGAACCGGCGCATGGCCTGCTGCTTCTCCACGGTCATGACGGCCACGTCCGACGCCCTGAGCTTCTCCTCGGCGGCAGCGCACCGCCCCGCCGCCGGCATCTGCTGGATGGGCCCGTCGACGCGGCAGCCGAGGAGGGCGAGGTCGGTGAAGGACGCGACGAAGGGCCCGTACCGGTAGTTGACGCGGTACCGGCCCCCCGCGGTGGCCCAGGTGGAGGCGTCCCAGACGGTGGCGTAGATCGACATGGGCTTGGAGGGGAAGTCCCCGCCCATGGCGTCCGACCGCCGCACCTCGCGCACCGGCACGTCGTCGATGTAGAAGGCCACGGCGGAGGGCGTCCACAGGATGGAGTAGCGGTGGAACTCCGTGGTCGGGTCGAACGGGAGCACGTACCGCTCCTCTCGCCCCCGCCCCACGCTGCCGTTGCCGTACACGTTCGTCTGTACCCGCCATGGCTTCCCTCGGATGTTGCCCAGGAACTCGAAGTCCAGCTCGTCGTGCCGCTTCTCGAACACGTCGCCGTTGGACGCCTGTGGGGAGCATGCATGCAAGCAGGAAGCATATCTATGTTATGTTTATATAGAAATATGCAGAGACAGACTGACGACGTACGTAGAAGGCGACGACGACGCCGGCGGTGTAGTCGGAGGGGAGCTTGATGGACGCGCTGAAGAAGCCGTGCTGGTACATGGACGACGAGGTGAAACCAGACCCTGCAGCAAATCCAATCCACCCCAAATTCATTCTTGTTCATCAATCGGATTGTTTGCTCGTCGGATAGATGTTTTCGAATATGATCGACCAGCAATCCAACAATTGGATTGTTTATCGATGAATGCGTTGCGATGGACAAGGCGTGCATGTGCATGGAAACTAACAAACAAGCATGCAGAGTATATATATGTAATAATGACCGGTGGAGCGGTCGAGGAGGAGGCTGACGGTGCGGTGGTCGGCGGATCGGAGGATGTTGCCGTGCCCGAACAGCGGCGCGTACCCGTCCTCGAACGCCATCGTCGTCACATTGATCGCCGGGAGGGCGGACACGGCCGCGGCGGCGGCCGCCAGGAGGACGACGACGGGCAGCGCCACCGCCGCCGGCGGCGTCTGGCGGACCATGTATGCTCTGCTCTCCGCCCGGCAGTCGAATTCGATCGCCGGCGCGTCAGGCGGACGTACGGCGATGATAATGATGCTGATCAACGACGGCCGGAACTGTTATTCTCGGCCAGGCAGGGGCCGGGGCCGGGACCGGGATGGTGAATCGCTGATTATTATTGCGTTGCCTTTATTTTGGAGGTGGTGATTCAAATGAGGAGAGCTCCAGTTTAGGAAAATGGCCGCCGCGTCGCGTGCGCTCGCGCGCTATATGCCTATATATGGGGTGGGGGAAGGATATGATCGGAGTCGGAGACGACGCCTCCATCACCGCGCAAAGAACAAAAATGGAAACAATCTCCGCGCATGCAGGCCAGGACAGGCTGGCGTGGCATTATCCGTAAAGCAGCTGCCATGGAGTATTTATCATAACTACACGAAATGTTCGTGATGAATGAAGGATAAAAGAGGCCTTCGTCCACTCCCAGATACGCCATTTCTGTTGTATATGTATTCTTTGTCAATTATTACTTATACTCCGTTCTAAATTATAGATATTTTTAATTTTTAAATTTATTTTATTACGTATCTATAAACATAATGTATATATTTAAGTATATAATAAAGTAATGCTATGTATCTAAAAAATTTGTATTTTTTTCAAACAATTTTGAAAGAGGAGTTCCTCACCTAGTTAGGTAACAAAAAGAACCGCGGGACCAAACAATCTCGTGTGTATTGATAGGATGCTCGAAACACTTGAAGGTAGACTAACTAAGCAAAGAGTGGTGGTATATGACAACAAATTCGACAAAAATTGTATTCTCTCCATAAAAAAAAGCTTATACCCCGTTTGGATTTGTAGAAATTCACTCTAGGATTTTTGGAATTGGCATTGAGTAGCTCTGGATGTGGTTGTTTGGATGGTTAAGAATTAGGAATTTGAATTCACCCCCAATGCCAAGCCATATTCACTATAATTGTATCGCCTAGCCTTCAGCACCAAACCCTTTCCTTTCGTATTGCTCTGCATTCATCCGTCTTGACCCTCCCAACGCACCCCTGCCTGACAATGCGACAAGCTGCCCCTAATGCCCCTTCTCTGATGAGTCATCCTAGACGCTCAACTCTTGATGACCGCCCCTAATGCGTCCACACCCCCCATGATTCGCCCTTGAAGGTCTGCTCTCGACACGCTTCTACCCCGACAAGCCGCCGACACGCCTCCACCTCTGATGTGCCGGTCCCGACGTACCCTCACCTTCCTCCCCATGGCTAGTGACCAATGCCCTTCCCTTTCCCCATGGCCAATGACCGACGAGGCGACGGGCCCTCTTTTTTTCCCCTCGTGCCCAAAGGTCGGTGAGCCCTTCTCTTCTTCTTCCCAATGGTCGGTAGTCCTTCTCATTCTCACATTCTAGAAGCCAATTTAATGATCATCCAAACACTATCTATAATTTGAATCGTGGTTAATTTTAATACCAAGGATGAATTGGTATTAAACCCAATTCAATTATATATTCATGAATATTCACATTGAAACACAAAAGTTTGATGTTTTAGTTTTGTCCTAAGTGAAATTTATCTTAAAAATTTGACCAACATTTATGACACCAATTTTGTAGGTTCTAAACACTCCCTCCATCCCAAATTATAAATCATTCCAAGAATCTTGGAGAGTCAAACATTTTCAAGTTTGACTAAAATTATAGAGAAAACCAATTTTATAATATGAAAATATAACTAATGAAGAATCTAATGATACTTACTTGTTATGATTCTAAAAACTAGATCAGATGTTTTTAGATAGAATTATAGTATCACGATATTTAGATAGTATAAAAAAATCGTGAAAACGTATTATTAACAAAATCTTAGAATCAGCGATCATGCTAGTCGTGACACAATCGAGATTTTGATATGCAATGGTAACCCAGAGCGAGAGATGCATTCATGTGATTTATTCCAAAAGACCGGATTAAACCCTCGCCATCGGACCGGATTAAACCCTAGCCACCTGCACCTCCGCGAATCCTTTCCTTTCCTCGATTCCACATGCCGCTCAGCTGCTCCCCCACCTCCGCTGCCGCCGCAGCGGCGGCATCTCCCGGCGCCGCCCGCAGCGGGGGGCTCCTGCGCCGCTCGCGCCCAGTCCCCTGCGTCGTGGTGAGCTCCTGACTCCTGAGTCCTGACCCCCACCCCCTGTTCTAATTTGCTCTGTTCGTGCCCGTGCCATGAGGCAATAATCACTCGCCGCCTGGCCATCCGGACTCACCGGTGATTTTACGGCGCTGGTGCGTCCGGAGCTCGGGAATTGGTTTTACGGCGACGGTCGGCGTTCGGAGCTCGGCTCCGTGTTTTTTTAATTACTTTTCGCAAGGGCGGGTTTAAAGCTTTCGATTTTTTTTTTCTGGAATTTGGAACCATTGCTTGTTGTATATTTCACATTAGAGAGTACCCATCTTGCATCTGCACATAAAAGGAAGTTGTGAAGTTGCTGCTAGTAATCATGTCGAGTCTGCACAATGGGGATTTTTTTTTTAACTTCTGCCTGCTCATATAAGCTAAAAATGGACTCCATACGTGCAGAGGTGTAAAAAGATTGATTCTCTGAGGGCAATCAATGGAGCACTGCCTTGCATTCCGGTGTCCGACAGGTCGCTATTGACTCCTGTAACCTTACCGGTTTTCCAGGATCCAAACACGAGGAACGACACGAGGCTGCGCATCTTCTCAGGCACAGCCAATCCTTCCCTTTCCCAGGTCAGTTGAGTCTAGCATGGAGAAATTGTCTCCAATCTTTATTCTAGCCTTGCATTGAGTTAGTTGGAGGCGACCAATTAAACTGTACTAACAAGTTACCTCCTTAGAGCACTCAGTACATTAACTTCTTTTGAGTTTGAAATAGCGATTGGTATAAAAAGTGGATTGAAATGAAGGATAATTTGTACCGATTATTAAACTGTACTAACCAGCTACCACCTTAGAGTACTCAGTTCATTAACTTCTTTTGAATTTGGAATAGTGATTGGCATAAAAGGTGGATTGAAATTAAGGATAATTTGAACCTCAATAGATTTTTACCTGGCATAGTTACTAGCGTACTTTTGAATGATGAAGAATAATAAACAGGAAATGTGTTGTATCTTTCATGCCTAATTTCTTTATGGTATCCTGTATTCCTATGAACAGGAAATAGCAAGTTACTTGGGACTAGAACTTGGGAAGATTAACATAAAGAGGTTCGCTGATGGTGAAATATATGTTCAGTTGCAAGAAAGTGTACGGGGCTGTGATGTTTTCCTTGTGCAACCGTCGTGCCCTCCAGCAAATGAAAATCTTATGGAACTTCTGATCATGATTGATGCCTGTAGGAGAGCATCTGCTAAGAATATTACTGCAGTTATCCCTTATTTTGGTTATGCAAGGGCTGACAGGAAGGTAATGTTGCTTTATTGCAGCTTCTCAAATTGTTTTAATGGTTTCAAGGTTGATCTTTTTTTTTATCGAAAAAAGACTCCTTGTCACATGCTTGTACCGCTTCGCCTTTACCAGTCTTTAGCCATGGAAGGTGCATAGGCAAAATTTCAACAGTTTTGTTATTTTAAAAGTGCTTGGAACCAGCAAATTTCTGATCACCAGCATCAATTGAGCAAATTTCCGATCACCAGCATTGATTGAGGTGGTTGAATTTCATCCAAGGGCCTAGGATGGCTACTGGAATTGAAGTCAATGCTCAATGACATTACAGATTCTATTGTTCCTTTTGATTCTAACATCCTAGCATCTATGAAATCAAAAGACTTTTCTGGACGTGACAAAGAGTGTGTCTCCTTACCATTTTTAGTACTAATAGAAGCACCTTTTCCTTTTTTCAGTCTCAGGGCCGGGAATCTATAGCTGCAAAGCTTGTAGCTAATATGATTACCGAAGCTGGTGCTAACCGTGTCCTTGTTTGTGATCTTCATTCCAGTCAAGCAATGGGATACTTCGACATCCCAGTAGATCATGTTTATGGCCAGGTATATGTACTGAAGCATGCTACTTAAATCTATCAATTCTTTTAAGACTTAGTGTTTATGATGGTATTCATTCTTCTTACAATTATTTTCTATTTTTCCTGTTTGATCTGTGAAGCCTGTTATTCTTGATTATCTCGCCAGCAAGACAATATGTTCAAATGACTTGGTAGTTGTATCTCCTGATGTTGGAGGTGTTGCCAGGGCACGTGCTTTTGCTAAAAAGCTGTCAGATGCACCTCTAGCTATTGTAGATAAAAGAAGGCAAGGACATAATGTCGCTGAGGCAAGTATTATTGTACTATGTTATTTGCTTAAACAGTGTAGCAGGCTGAATGGATGTATATAGAAGAAAATATCAACTTCGTAACTCAAATATTAGTTTCTCCTTAATAACTGTACTATTATGAACATCTGATTTGGATGTACAGAAGAAAATCTTCACATGGTACTCTGAAGTGATAAGTCCACATTTAACCCCTCAACTTTTGTGTTTGTCTAATTTTAACCCTCAACTCTAATAATGTCTAAGCACAGTATCTCAACTATCAAACCCACTTGGTTTTGACCCTCAGGCCTGTTTTGGTTGGTATTTGGATGGTTTGGTGGCAAGTTGCTGGTTTTTCCCCCCAAGAAACCTAGGACATTATGTGGCAGGGTCCCATAGGTCATTCCTTACTTCCTCTTCTCCTCTCTCATCTCGCGGTTTCCGGATCTTGATTGGTAGCGGCACTGTGGCAGGAAGGGAGCACAGTGCTCGCGACCGTAGGAATGTGCAAAGCAGAAAGGGAGCACGGTGTCCTTTGCCCATGTCCATCTCTTCTCCCCTCACATTTTAATCCAAGCAGGAAGTCGGCAGCCAGCCTGACACCTGGCTATCCAGAGTGCTGAGACAGTAGACTAGGTGGTGCGCCTGCTCTGGAGGCTGGAGCATCAATGCAGACCTGCACCGCCACCGCCACCGCCACCACCACAGCCACAGCCACCACTTGGCCTTTGCGC